CTACCGCCATACTTGGGTGGTACTGAAGTCAACTTCGAGGCCCAAGCGGGAAGCATTGTTCATTCAAGCCATATTGAAGCTTCAATCTCTACATTGATGATACAAGTTGCCAGGAGATGAGACTGGTCACACTCAGATTTAGTAGTAGCCTAGGACATGTACTTAATTCACCGGCCGGCTTCTGATACCAACATATAGTCCACTGTTCTTAGCTATCAAACCTACTATAAAGTGCAACACATTGCTTCGAATAGCACTTTCCCCCACCGGAATTCTTGTTGGAGTCTTTGAGGCACAGGATACTTCACCGATGTACCTTCCAAGTCGGGATGGTTGTTAGAGAGCCACCTCAATCCTGACATGCCACCACTCCTACAATTCCATGATGAGTGTATACGAGCTATGAACCAGACTACATGGTTTGTCTAGATCTTAAACAACAAAGCAGAGTTGTCACTTGTACCATAGGCAGACCTTGTATAGTATTGCACAATTCATACAAAGGAGAAGGGTGCTAATTACACATATACTGTACCAGACTATGTGTATAGGCTCTTTCCATACTCTCAGACCTAATAGAAGTGTACTGAGAGAGCACATAGAAGTCAACAAGCATTAGCACAGGAGGAACTCGATATTTAGAGGTGGATGTCACTCCTTTCCATCACGCGGTGCCAGGACCCCGAGTGCAAGCCCGCATTGCTGTGCTCGATTTCCTAAAGTCGACCTGGTCCTGCTCGGCAACGGTAGCAGACGTCAGCGTGTTCTCGAGCGGAAGATCTCAAGCGACCGGACGGAAGCATCTGGGAGATATCCCTGTTCAGCCTCGTCTGGTGAAAGTCCTTCACCGCTTTCCGGGAAGTCTTATTGTCGGACGGACTTGTGTCTGAGGGATTGTTGAGTACAACTATGAAAGTTGAGCAACGGAGAAGCCGCCATATTCAAAGGCCCACGTCCACCAGTCGTATCGTTTGGCGATTTGGCAGCCATTTTCGATGCGTCTGGAAGCATACGGCTCACACCTTTGGTTTCTGGGCGCCTCGGAAGGCAGATTCTTATACTTATCTCAACACACTCTTCCGGTGGGGTCCGTCTTGGGCAATACGACCCCTCGAAAAAGCAATCCCACGACTTGCTGACTAAGACAAGTCAGCACTGTTGGATTTATAACTCCTTGTGGTTGCACAGGCGTCTTTCGTGTGGCCTGGCGGGTCTGCGTTGCGGCTGTGGCTCGTGGATCTGGGTTCAAATCCTGACGAGTGCATTTTTTGTTGGTTTGTACCAATGTTCTACCTACTTCCTGTATGTTTTTTCTTCGCACTGCGGAGGGGTGGTTAGGAAGTTTGGGTTAGGGTAGGTTAGGGTAAGTGGGGGGGTCCGGGGGGAACCCCCGGGTTGGTTAAGGTTCGGGTTAGGGTGAGGTGGTTAGGGTAT